AGCAACATGGAGGCTGTTGCCAAGGCAAAGGTGAGTGATCAGTTTGCCTTTCATTCATCTCAAACACTACATGAACTGTAACTAATGAATCTATCAGTAGCTTGATACTTGAAATACATGACATACGTCACAATTTCTTGCTGTAGGGCAACTTGGAGAAAATGTGCAGAACTCTGGAGGACCAGCTGAGTGAGCTCAAGGCCAAAAATGATGAGAATGTTCGCCAACTGAATGACATTAATGCACAGAGGGCAAGACTTCAGACAGAGAATGGTAAATGACCTGCAATGGAAACCAGTCTGTTGGTGGGTTCATCATGTTTCATACAATTTAATATATATTTTGTTCATCAGGTGAGTTTTCTCGCCAGCTTGAGGAGAAGGAAGCGCTTGTTTCCCAGCTGACCAGGGGCAAGCAGGCCTTCACCCAGCAGATTGAGGAGCTTAAGAGGCACCTTGAGGAGGAAGTGAAGGTATTACAATAACCATTCGTGCCACAGAAGTTTAAATCCAAAACTAAATAGAATATAAGAGCATGCTCCTGGAATTCTCTACAGGCAAAGAATGCCCTGGCTCATGGTGTTCAGTCAGCCCGCCATGACTGTGATCTGCTCAGAGAGCAGTATGAGGAGGAGCAGGAGGCCAAGGCTGAGCTGCAGAGAGGAATGTCCAAGGCCAACAGTGAGGTGGCTCAGTGGAGAAGCAAATATGAGACTGATGCTATTCAGCGCACTGAGGAGCTGGAGGAGTCCAAGTAAATAAAACCATTCTTCTTTTTCATAACAGATAAATATCCACTTTAATCTGTTTGTTTTGTGCTCATCGTTGTTTTTGTGACGGTATTACTGTGTAAGCAAAGATAACTCTTTGTTCACCACAGGAAAAAGCTTGCCCAGCGCCTGCAGGAGGCTGAGGAATCCATTGAGGCTGTGAACTCCAAGTGTGCCTCTTTGGAGAAGACCAAGCAGAGACTGCAGGGTGAGGTGGAGGACCTCATGATTGATGTGGAGAGAGCTAACGCTCTGGCTGCCAACCTTGACAAGAAGCAGAGGAACTTTGACAAGGTAACAGGAAATCAAGACTCCAATGGTGCAGATGAAACTATTTTTTCTTAGTACTTAGTCAATGGTACTCTTCTATATATTTCTAGGTCCTGGCAGAATGGAAGCAAAAGTATGAGGAGGGCCAGTCAGAGCTGGAGGGAGCCCAGAAGGAGGCTCGTTCTCTCAGCACTGAGATGTTCAAGATGAAGAACTCCTATGAGGAGACTCTGGATCACCTGGAGACCATGAAGAGAGAGAACAAGAACCTGCAGCGTATGTTAACTTTTACTACATAAAAAATGAAACTAATAACATACCAGCTCTGATACTGATATACACTTGTTCCAAGAACTGTAAATTGGTTTGTTTGGCATTGTTTTCCTGTAGAGGAGATCTCAGATCTGACTGAGCAGATTGGTGAGACTGGAAAGACCATCCATGAGCTGGAAAAAGCCAAGAAGACTGTGGAGACTGAGAAGTCTGAAATTCAGACAGCTTTAGAGGAAGCTGAGGTAATGCATTTTTAAAATGTAATTTTTTGTTTTGTTTTACTGAATTAAGTCAAATCAAATACCAGGACCATTCAGACTAATTTAAGGTGATTTTTAATGACAATTGTTTAAATTATCCAAAGGGCACCCTGGAGCATGAGGAGGCCAAGATTCTCCGTGTTCAGCTTGAGCTGAACCAGGTCAAAAGTGAGGTTGACAGGAAGCTGGCAGAGAAGGACGAGGAGATGGAGCAGATCAAGAGGAACAGCCAGAGGGTGATTGACTCCATGCAGAGCACTCTAGATGCTGAGGTTAGGAGCAGGAATGATGCCCTGAGAGTCAAGAAGAAGATGGAGGGAGACCTGAATGAGATGGAGATTCAGCTGAGCCATGCCAACAGGCAGGCTGCTGAGGCCCAGAAACAACTGAGGAACGTCCAGGGACAGCTCAAGGTAAGTTTTGTGTCATCATTTAGCTAGAATGTCATGTATTTAAAGTATTAAAAAGACGTAGAATAAAACAAACGATTTCTTGCTTTGTTGCTTTTTGTTGTCAGGATGCCCAACTGCACCTTGATGATGCTCTCAGAGGACAGGAAGACATGAAGGAACAGGTTGCCATGGTGGAGCGCAGAAATGGTCTGATGTTGGCTGAGATTGAGGAGCTGAGAGCTGCTCTGGAACAGACTGAGAGAGGACGCAAAGTGGCTGAGCAGGAGCTGGTTGATGCTAGTGAGCGTGTCGGCCTGCTTCACTCTCAGGTTTGTTATTAATTCACAAGATAATAGTATAAAAACACATAATTCATAACATGCTAAACACAACTTTTCTTTAACATTCAGAACACCAGCCTTCTGAACACCAAGAAGAAGCTGGAGTCTGACCTTGTCCAGGTCCAGGGTGAGGTGGATGATGCTGTTCAGGAAGCAAGAAATGCTGAAGACAAAGCCAAAAAGGCTATCACTGATGTGAGTTTACAACTTCCCTTATTTTATTTTAGAAATCATTTCTTATTTTTTATTCAAATTAATTTTCAAATACATTTGAACTGTTTCAGGCTGCCATGATGGCTGAGGAACTGAAGAAGGAGCAGGACACCAGCGCTCACCTGGAGAGGATGAAGAAGAACCTGGAGGTCACAGTCAAGGACCTGCAGCACCGTCTGGATGAGGCTGAGAACCTGGCCATGAAGGGTGGCAAGAAGCAGCTCCAGAAACTGGAGTCCAGGGTATGAACTATGTACACAAACACTCACAAAAGGTCATTTTGGAATTGCATCATATTTTCACTATGTGGAATGAATTCAGTTTCCATTCCTTTGTACTTAAATATATGCATATAATATTATTCACACTTTGCTCTCACAGTCCAAAAACATGTTGAGGTTAATTGGTGATTCTAAATTGTCTATAGGTGTGAATGTGAGTGTGCTTGGTTGTCTGTCTCTAAGTGTAGCCCTGTGATAGACTGATGACCTGTCCAGGGTGTCCTCTGCCTTCACCCTGAGTCAGCTGAGATAGGCTCCAGCCCTCCTGCAACCCTAGTAAGGATTAAGCGGTGAATAGATAATGGATGGATGGACTATTCATACTGTTCATCCTCACTTTACAGGTGCGTGAGCTTGAAGCTGAAGTTGAAGCTGAGCAGAGACGTGGAGCTGATGCTGTCAAAGGAGTGCGCAAATATGAGAGGAGAGTGAAGGAGCTGACCTACCAGGTAACACTTACTGAAAAAAATGCCTTGGCTTGACTTCGATTCTTTGCGCTTTATCCCTTAACGTATATTCCATAATCTCAATAGACTGAGGAAGACAAGAAGAACATCAACAGACTTCAGGATCTGGTGGACAAGCTTCAGCTCAAAGTGAAGGGTTACAAGAGACAGTCTGAGGAGGCTGTAAGTTAGACACCTTCTGTGACATAGCATTTTTAATGAATTCAGTCTTGTATCGCAACTATGTCAGTATAACCCTGCATCTTTCACAGGAGGAGCAGGCCAACACCCACATGTCCAGGCTCAGAAAGGTTCAGCATGAGCTGGAGGAAGCTCAGGAGCGCGCTGACATCGCTGAGTCCCAGGTCAACAAGCTGAGAGCCAAGAGCCGGGATGTTGGAAAGGTAACTTTGTTATTGGTATTTTGCATGATGGCAGCATTAGTTATATCTACATTAGAAGTCAGCAACAACTTGATTTCTAAGTTCTAAATTTGTATTTCTAATTGATTTTCCTTCTTTTTTTAGTCTGAGTCTGCTGAGTAAGAGTCATCATTCAGTTGAGGCCTTTCAACAGAGTTCATAAAATATGAACGAGTGGTTGGGGGCTCTGTAACATATCAATAAAGACAATATTCATCATCACTATCCTGAATCCTGTCAATTTATTTCTGATGACTAATTTATTTAGTGCAGAAAAAAACGTGGTCTAAAACAAAGTAGTGCAGTTAGCCATACATGCTGTGTTGCCTTATAGTAGAGTTTGGGAGCACTGTACCAATGTCAGTGTCTACTAATGTCTCTGTTTTCGTCTTTCTGAAATGTTGTGAAGTACAAAGCTGTAAAAATGTGATGGAAAAAAAACAACAACTCTTTGTCATGGTTTGAATAGAGGGGATAAAGCAAGAGCAACCAAGTAAAAATGAATATAGAGCTGGAAGTGTAAAGCAGATGCTGGTATTGCTGTTCTCCTTAAAACACTGTTATGAGCTCCACAACAAGTAATCCAGGGTTCTGTTTGATTTTGTTTATGAACGCAAGCATAATTCTGTACACATTGTAAATGCTTAGCTAAACTGCGTGTTGGGCTGAGCTTTCTTACTCATCGTCCAGTATTAGCTAAAATGACATGGACATATCTGTGGGTACACTGGAAGAGTTCAGATACTCATACAAAGATTAAATGGACAACATTTGTTGACCACTGTTAACATATTATGACATTCTAAGTTCATATTATATTTTAACCTCAAACACGTTATTGTAGATGCTTGTAATTATGAGAAAAATATATTTCTAATATAAGGAGTAAATGACAAACAGAAAAAAAACATGGGTGTTTCTTTTCTTTTTTCCCCCCATATGACTATATTTAGCAAATCGAAGTTTGCTTACAAGACAAAAAAGGCTCAGGCCTTTTATTGCATCCATGCAATGCTTTATTTGGGATGTCACAAGCAACAAACAGTAGGTTGCCAAGTAATACAAGTCTTTTCACTATGTCCCTGGAAGAAATGAAAGCTTGACTTGGAATCTTGGAGCAGAATGAAGTGTCGCTGAAGACTTTGATGGCCACTCATCTTAAAGCCCTGTGGGCTTTTCTGTGAGGGGTACTTGGGTTTCACACCACTTTTGTATCCTCCTAATGGGAATATATGGTGGCACGGAAACATGTCCATGTCACATAAGCAGCAAAGAAATCAGCACCACTATAGCACCAAGGACAATTTCTATTTCAAAAACTGAATCACAATTGAAAGTTTCAAAGAAACAACAAAGATAAGTCCTAGATCTAAATATTAACCAGGTTTTACCACAATCATTTTCACATTTGTTGAGCATGAAGGTCACTCTTGGATGATATCTCTCTCTCTGTCTTTCTACTCTTCCTTTCTACTCTCCCTAATGTATTCAGTATCAGCAGCAAAGACACTTTAAAGAGAGACTGAAAATACTTGGAATGGTCACTTTGGCATGTTCACCATCTGCTCTCATCAGCATGTGTCCTAAGAGTCAACTCTAAACCAGTCAATAAGAAAATTGTTAACCTGTTTCCTGAAATGGCTAAAGTGCTGTGTCTAAATGTCTATTTTCTAAGTTCATACAGTTTCTCTGGTTGACACAAATGACTCAAAAATGTCATATTGCCTATAAGAAGTCAGGAATTGCAAGAAACCTTGCCTCATGTTTCTTTTATAGATGTCTCCTCCTATCAAATGTAGCAGCTGGATGAGTTCATTTTGCCTTGTGTGGAACTTATTTTGGGCTTGATCTCAGGCAAGTTGCCAACCCTTTCCATTTCCATGTACGGAATAATATAATGGGTGAATGAACTTATATGGATAACCTCACAATTAATTTTATTACAGGAATACGAGATGTGCTAGTGCCCTGTAACTGTAGACCACAAACATTTGGGGACATTTCCAAAACTGACCTCTTTGCATGCATCTGATGTAGTCCACTGAAAACATTAAAGTGTCGTAATCCCTATTAATAAAGTGCCTTGATTTTGATTTATAGGATCAAATAGTGCACAAGTATAAACTTCAGATATGGACTGTAGGGTTACCTTTGGGTAGTTTCTCTGTTTTTTATGTGCACAGTGACAGTTTTGCCAAATATAGCATTATCGCTATTTTAAATCTTTGCTATTTTAATGTATTATTTTCCATTATGAATTACTTTTACCCAAAACTTAGTATAACTTTTAAATTTATATTCAATGTGAATGTTTTATTTAATGATTATTATGTGTTGATGACTCTCTAATATTAGTGACATTAAAAGGTCAACTTTCATTCATTTCAGGGATCTCAGACATGCAAGTCTCCTGTAATTGAATCCCAGCAGACTATGGAAGACTTTCCTAAACTAATCCCCAAAGGTGCCCACAATTTAAAATATAAAAATAAATGTTAATCTTAACAGAGTCTTTCAACTTTATTGCTAATCAAAAACTAGATTTACTGGAATTCAAATCATATTCCCGCTGTTTAATAATGATTTATTGCTGCCATCACTTCTCTGTCTGCACTTGGAGGCAGTGGTGGACCAAATTTTAGAGCAGGAAGCTTGTATGAGATTATCGAAGGCAGCAGTACATAAGCTACTCTTTTTTTTTCTCTTCACAAGTATACACTGTTTCCATTCAGTAGACTATGAAGCCTTGGTTTGCTGCAATGTCTTTAGACATTTTGTGTGTGTGTGTGTGTGTGTGTGTGTGTGTGTGTGTGTGCGCGCATGTGCGTGCATGCATGAGTGTATTTCAATTTTTAGTATTTATGTCCTTGTTCTGAAATTCCTATGTTGTTGTTATAGAAATACTCTTAGCTTAAAGTGAACATGATGTGTGAATGAACTATTTAGAATTTTAATAGTCACATTTTTGGTCACATATACATTTCCATGTCATTTAAATAAAATCATTTGGTATAACACCATTATATATAGGGCTACATATAGGTTCATTGTGTGTGTGTGTGTGTGTGTTTGTGTGTGTGTGTACATATATATTCAAATCTAAAATCTGAGTTTCAAATATTCATGTGTCCCATGTCCATAAACATCAATATCACAAAATAAGCAACAGGATGGCCATAAAGCCATGACCAAACTGAGTGAGGGACTCCTGCTGACCAGGCACTCCCACCCTCTATAAATGAGGCAGCTCTGGACGTCTGGATGAACTGATAGCCCTCCAACACAGGTGAGTGCATTTACTGTGACTTTAGTTTGTACTCCTACTTATTAGCTGATAAATTTAATGTGTTTCTTTGTTGTATTGTTGCTATTAATTAGTGGTTTAATAGACATCCAGAACACTTCATTTTGCAACTTTTGCCATCTACTATTGTGAAATTAAATTTTGCAACTAAGATTAAAAAATTAAGTGAAAATAAATAGATACATAAAGAGAGCTAATATTGACATTTAATCACCTTTTATAGCATCTTGAGACTCCAACTGAAACTGCACCTCATTCTTTTTGGAACGAGCTGAGGTAAAATAACAATAATAATAATAATAAACACAAACCTCAATTATCATGGATACAAAACAATATCAAAATTATCACTGTGGACTCATTCAGAATCTCACCGATTTAGTCTCGACTAAGGTGCCATCATGAGCACGGACGCAGAGATGGAGGCCTATGGGCCTGCAGCCATCTATCTCCGGAAGCCGGAGAAGGAGAGGATTGAGGCCCAGACTGCTCCATTTGATGCCAAGACAGCTTACTTTGTGGCTGATCCTGATGAGATGTATCTTAAGGGAAAACTGGTCAAAAAGGAGGGTGGCAAAGCCACGGTTGACACAGATACAGGAAAGGTAGGTGAAATTCCATTTTACTTTTCTGGTTTAACCAAAACATTTGAGTCAATTAAAAAATGTGAAGTCCTTTTATATAGGAGGACGTTCTTTCCAAAAAAAAGTGATCTAAAATTACGTCTGAGTAGCACATTCACTAAACTAATAGTTTATCATTGTCTTTCAAATTCTAATACTGCAAACACCAATGCCATTTTGTGAACTTTTTTATTTCAAATTATATCTCAGAAAATTTTTTTATTGACTATTTCCTATTCAGAGTATCACTGTAAAAGAGGATGACATCCATCCCAGGAACCCTCCAAAGTTTGACAAGATTGAGGACATGGCCATGATGACCCACCTCAATGAGCCTTGTGTGTTGTATAACCTCAAAGAGCGTTATGCATCATGGATGATCTACGTAAGTTTCCATTATTCTTCAGTGACTATATTTGTATGTAAATATGTACGGCTCAATTCTAATATGATGTTTATGCTCTCTGCTATGACAGACCTACTCTGGGTTGTTCTGCGTCGTCGTGAATCCCTACAAGTGGCTTCCTGTGTACGATGCTGTTGTTGTGG